ATCTATCTATCTATCTATCTATCTATCTATCTATCTATCTATCTATCTATCTATCTATCTATCTATCTATCTATCTATCTATCTATCTATCTATCTATCCAGGTAAACTGTTTGAGAACCATTTCTCATTTACAAACWTGACCTGGCATTTAATTGTGAGATATCATCAAAGATGAATGACAATGTACCAGTTCAAAAATGTTTTCAAAATTTCATTTTTGGATTATCCAAAATGGTCTGTTTATGTCCAAATTTGCTTTATCTTTTTTACTGAGTTTATGACCCATTGTGAACAATATGAATATTTCCCCTTTGTGTGCAGTTTCTTTTATTCTTTATTAAGACATAAAATACATTAAAGTGTTGCACTACCAGCCTACCTTTGTTTACTAAATGCATTCATATCTCTGCTCATGTTTGAAAAAAAAAATCACTTTTATTTCTAAGGGAGGACATCAGCATGGAGATCTGCAGCTGCAGGGCTGTTCTCCTGAAGCTTTCTTTTATGCCCATAGATAAAAACACCAGATAAATGCTGAAAAACTGCAAACAAACACACCACAAGTGGACAATGGCATAGTTATCTCTTGTTAACTTTATCAAACATCACACACTTCATCTGGCACTTTGTCTGAGCATGAAGAGTTTACCTGCATCTTGAACTTTYTGGCATGTTCTGACAATGGTTCTGTAGATCCTTTCATCTGATGAGCCTGGAATGAATAGAAGTACTGTATGGACACTATCTCTATTTGAAGAAAAGAACCAGAAAGGGATAAAACTATATAATACCCCATATTTTCTTTTTTGKGGAAAAAAAGGTTTAGTTGGACATCAGGCTGCAGAATTACAAGAGTGGTATCCTGTCATTTCTGCTATGTAACTGGCACTATATTGTTTTATTAAAATAATAAAAAAAAAACAGTGGCAGTTAGATTTTGTATTTTAATGTTGAATTATTTTAAAGGCATTTTCATCTTTTAAGATTAAATCKGTTCAGGACGACGTTTCTGATGTATATGCACATTCTGTAAACCAAAATGTACGGTTTGGGTTTTTCTCTAACTATCGCGAGATTTCAAMCCAGGAAGCGAACAAGACTCTCGTTACGAGAGCTGAAGGTGAGAACGAACATGGCGGCTCGCAGTATGTTCAGGTCTGTTTGGACCTCGTTTGCGGGCTTAAAGCTTTGCTCCACAGGTGTCAACTCAAATCCACTATTAAGGGTTAATGTTCTCCAACTACCCGCTTCAACTATCCAGAGCAGAGGGGTTCGCGAAGGTGAGATTTACACAAACCGTCACGATTTTATCCACCTAGCGTGAAGCTAGCGTGTTAGCATTAGCATATCGTGTAAGCTAGAAAGGATTTTTGTAATTTGTTTTACGCTCTCGGGTTTTAGTTATATCGTGCAACTGCAGTCTTCTATTGAAGAGAGGAAAGTCTTGAGTACGGGACGTTTTCTGCTTTAATATTTGTTTAATTTCATTGAGCTGTTGGCAATCGCTTATGTTAAGTTTAGTAAATGTTTATCTTGACGATAACTTGAAATAATGATAAAAATGTTGCATGTAACTCAGTTCTTTAGGGAAATTGTAAATTAAAAGTCAAGTTAAATCTAATGTATGTGCTGAGTTTATTTCTCCTTGGTTATATTTAAAACATCAGTTTAAAGGAGGAAGTCTAATACATTTTTTAAATGTTTTAAGTGATCAGAAAACTTTTCTAAAGGGTAAAAACGTTTAAATTATAGCAAAACATTAAAAAGTAAAGAGTTTTTATAATATTTAATAACAAAAACTTCTAGTAATGATTGCTTTTAATAATTTTTAAATAACTATGTTTAATAGTTATTTATGATAAAGACTAAAGTTGGACAATGTGTCATTCACAGTGGTGGAGACGAAAGAAGGCAATACAACAACGGTAAGAAAATGTTTAGGCTTAACCTTAAAGATATTTGCTTATTTTGGGTGTCCTCATTTATTACAGTACATGCATTATTTTTGTTTATATTATGGAGACATGCTGTTTGACTAACTGTAAAAATGCACAATAATCTGTTAGATTGAGGGTAAAGTCATAGACATGCCTGCTGCACCCGAGCCTCCAAACCCTGCCGCCAAATGTCCAATCTACAGGTGGAACTTGCAGCACAAATACAACTACACTGTAAGTGCTACACACACACCTTGATTAAATGTATTTATCTCGGTTGTTAAAAGTTGATTCTTGTTTGCTTTTTTTTCTCCAGGATGTTTTGCTGCTCAGTCAGTTCATCAGGTCAGATGGGGGGATGCTGCCCAAACGAGTCACTGGCCTTTGTCCTGAAGAGCATCGCAAGATTGCCATCTGTGTACAGATGGCTCATAGAGCAGGTTAGTGCATTTTTTTTATTTACCCCCAAATTGTCTTTCAGCAGTGCTGTAAATGTGTTCTGTGTGATCAAACCTCATTGTACACTTTATTCAGATTTATAAARCAGAGCTGCTTTTAATGTCATAAATGTATTAGTTTCTGTATATTTGGAGTCTTAATGTATCAGGACATGGATCAAAAACCTTCAGGTCATTCTCAAGTTGTAGACATATGACCTTAAATACATAACAACATGACATATTGTACTGTGTCATCATTTATTCAACTAATCTGTGTATAAGAACTGAGAACACAGTTGTAGAAACATTGAACGATGAGGCTTGTTTGAAAAGTTTTCTAGGAAGAAGTAAATCAAGCTGTGAAACCAGTTAGTCTTTTGGAAAGATGGGGACAAAGTAGCCATCTGGATACATAAAACCTTAAACTTCAGTTCTACTTTCTTAAATAAATTTAGTTAACTTTTTCATATGTAAAACTGTTAAGATGCGATCAGAGTGGAGGGTTTGTTGAATAGTCATTTTTGTATGTCACTTCTAGAGTTAGTCAAATCTGTCTCAGCTTAAACTCATCTGTTCAGGAAAGTATATACGTTAGAACCATATAGCTTTATAACTGCCATTAATCTTTTACGACTAGTTTACTATTTATTTCTAATTATTTTGATTTTTTAATATTGATCTCTGGAAGATGACCTTAGGAGTTTTGAAATGCACTTATAAATAAAATGCGTTATTATTATAGTAGTTGTTGTGAAGCATCTCAGTAATCTAGGTAGAAAAAATCAAAAAGAAAAAAAAAGTAGGTCCTCTGGATGGGTTGTTCTTTAGTGAAACGTTTCGTCTCTCCTCC